GTAAAATATTTGTGCAAAATATGCTTTATCTTTTGGTTCAAGTTAATGAAAGTATTAAGTGTGTTATTTCTGAACGTGTAGTGAGTATAGAAGCCATAGATAATAAATTTTCTGACCTTTTTGATGCAATAACATTAGGACAATATAACGATAGGGAGGTTAAATTTTTTATTAGACAAGAAAAGTCTGAAAACTGGCGATAAGTTGATAATGGACTAAAAGGAGACTTAAAAATACTAGAAGTTTTAGGGTTTTTGCGAGTTAAATTTTGTTTTGTTGAGTCAAATTTAAATACACAAGATATTCCTATTCCGACTCAAAATAGAGAAAGTGCTTTTAGCATTTTAATGCAAAATTCAAGAAAACTTTTACTTCCTCAACGTATTACTGAATATAATAATTGTGATCTACTTTATAATGAAATTATCGAACTTCTTCAAGATCTAAAAGTTGGCTGGATGGGTGGTGTGCACGATACGATTGGCAAAATATTTGTAAATCGTATTAAGGATGCAATCTGGTATATTGATCCACATCACTCCACATTAAATGCACGTTCATGTCACTTGCCTATCCTTTTCACACAACTGAAAACCTATCAAGATGGTGATACATATAACCAATATTACCATTCCGGTCATCATAAAAAAATTCAATTGTCACAACATAAACTTCTTCAACTTTCAAGTTTTCTTGGATTATCTATTAGTCAACCATGGGCAAGTAATGATATATGGAATCAAGTAGTTCCAGCAATTCTTTCGCTAATTGGAATTCTGGAAAAATATGTTCAGTATCTAAATGAAGCTACTATTATTATGACCAAGCATCACCATTGTGATGAAAGTGCTCGCTGTCCTGAAAATAACTGTATTATGTATCGGACTGCTGCTTGTAAACGTGATAACCTCAAAGATAAATATAAACAACTGAACAATCTTTTATTTGAAAAACAAGTTTATGAACATGTTAACATTCAGCAATATCTTCCAAATGATGTTATGAAAAGATACTGATTTATAAAAGAATTGCAGCTCATGTTTCCAATAGGCATATATAGGTTCAAATATAAATCTATAACATTATATTAATTTATTTACATTATAAATTTATATAATAATTATTTATCATTTTTAGGTATCATCAAGGCAGTCATTTGGGAACCATTAATTTTGTATGGAAAATTCCTGAAGCTGAAGAATTTAATGATGAACAAAATGAAACGTTGAAAGTACGAATGCTTGCTAGGATTCACGAAGGTTTACCTCATTATTTTACACGACAAATGCAAAAGAATGTGCTTAATAAGGTAAAAATAATGCAATAGATGTTTAACAAATATATTATTTTATCTCACTCATAATAATTTTTATAGTATTCGTACATTCAGAAAGTTACACCAGCTGTACTACGTATGCTTCATTTTGATCTCACTGGTAATGCTGCCGTATCTTCAAATTCTATCAGTCGTGAAGTAGAAGAGAGATTACTATTGATGTTAACTTTGGCAGATCCCACCATTATATCTGATTTGCGAACAAATAATGGTTTTGATGGAACAAAATTTAATATATTTTGGGATGAAACAGAAGCATATTTCAATGAACAGGTTGGACTTTCTATTGTTTAATTTGTTATAAAGTGTTCTAATTCACTAAAAATAATAAAATTATTTTATTTGGAATTAATAATAGAACTTGCTTGCAGTAGATGAACGGAGACATGAAACTATTCTATACATGCCATTAGCCTTATCTGTTCGTGATCTTCGTGAAATAATAATGGAAAAATTATATATCATCCATGGTAATCCTCTTCCTTTTACTATTCATATTCCATCAGAAGAATGGATCCGCCTACAGTTTTGCCCTACAAATGCTATTGCAACACGATCTATACATCACACTGGTCGATTCAACGTAAAATTTAAGGTACAAGGTCGGTTGCTTCTGAAAAATAGTGATGATGCACATTATTGTGCAGCATTTTTCCGGTATCTTAGAGAATTTTGCATTAAGTACCATCAGTGGACTTGTTTGATTTCTGCAGATGACAAACATAAAGTTCCTATTGGAGAAGATTTTGCAGTTTCTACAGGTGTATGAAACCGGCGCTCTATGGTGGATCAAAATAGTACATTGGCTGCTGCAGATCATGACTTCACAAAGCTATCTTTAACACCATCAGTTACGTTTTTCATATCAATCCCTGAGGATATTTTTGGATCATTTTATGATGGTCAAGTTTTTGTATCTTATAAAGATACAACCTTTGAGCCAAGTTCTGCCATCAGACATTCAACTGAGTTTTTAAATGCTCTTAATATCCAATATGAACATCAAGTAACGCCACCAATACTATGCCTTTATACTGATGGAGGGCCGGATCATCGATGCAATTATGGATCTGTGCAGATTGCATTGATTGCTCTTTTTCTACAGGGGGATTTTGACATGCTCATTGCAGTTCGCACTGTGCCCAATCATAGCTGGACAAATCCAGCTGAACGTATTATGAGTATCTTGAATTTGGGTTTACAAGGTGTAGCACTTAAGCGTAATCAGATGAGTCCTGAATCTGAAGCTTTGTTTGAAACGGCAAATACCTTAGATGATATACGTAAAAAGGCTCAAGAATTTAATGAATTAAATTCTGAATTAATAGAGAGTATAGCAAATATTCAAGACATGTTAAATAATCGAACAGAACGGCTAGTATTAAAAGATAAGAAATTCAAATGTCATGGATCAGCAAGTGAAGAAATAATTACTAAATTATTTGAGGTAATAATCAATTTCGTATGATAATAAATATTATTATTGAATTAAACTTTTATAACCACAAAATTTAATACTATATACACCATGAAATTCTATCTGTTGAAATGCAAATTGATATTAATATTATTTATTATTTTGAGAAGTCAATTTTTGTTATAGACCCCACTTTGAAAATTGACGAAACCACACAATCGCAAATACGTCGTCATTCTGCATTGATTGAATTTATGGATACTCATTGCCATGCGCGCGCCTATAGTTTTCAGGTTTTGTGATGACTATAGTTAAATTCATTTAAAATATTTTAAGCAGAATTGCCAAAGATATTATTATCCCCCCTAATATACTCCATTGACATTAAGATAAAAAAGTGCAATAATCCTACTTGTCCATATTGTAAACCAATTCGTCTTCCTTCACAAGAATTTCATGATTTGAGTTTTCTTCCAGATCCGATCCCTTCGCAAGGTATCTATTAATTATTATTTTGTATGTTTAATATCAATTGTTATTTCATAAGTTTAATGTAATTCAACATATAAACTCCCTTTTAAAAAATAGAGAATACTGACCATTACGCGGCTTTTCAAAGTGTCTATGGAACTGAAACTACCGAAGAATATAGACCAACATATATGCAATCACAGGCGAACGCAGAACCTATTCCAAAATCTATTCTAGTTGTAGGGAAAATCCGTGGTTATATTGATTGTGAAGATTGTAAAAAGCGTCGCTGTGTGTATAGTGACAAATTCTTGAATAGTGACGAACAACAAGATTTTCAACAAGTACTAGAGTCATATTCATACTCCTGCGGTGCACCAATTTTTCCTGATGATCACTACTTGAAAGAAGTAGTGTTTGTACGAACACGTATCAATTGTGACTCACCAATTGAAGTATTGTATTATTCAAGCCGTAAATCAGGAAATTATCCAATTTGTTACTATTGTGGAGAAAGTGAAGGTTTGGTGGCACCTCCGGAATCTTTGAAACAGCGTTTCAAACAAATTTATCCACTATGTGAGATGTGTATAGAGAATAGAAAAGGTTTTCATACTAAAGGAGAGATTAAGACTAACGGACGTGCCTCAAAGCGCCGTAAAACATAGATTATATTGACAAATAGTGTAATTAGTTTTAACATACAATTATACAAATAAATAATTTTAAAATACTTTAATTATTTTTATTTATTTTTCGTTTAATACATTTTTAAATTACATCATACATCTAATAAAATTGCAGTATAATTATCACGTGAAATTATTATAGTTGTATTATTTTTAGTATCCCCCCCC